TACTTTCTTAGATAGTTTTGAAAAAATTGTTACTCTGACAACCAAAAATTCCTGGCCATCTTTATTCAACCTGCCACAAGACAGAATCAGCTCTTTCTAGAGAAGACTTCCTTGTTGGTTTTGAGAAGAAAGGTGTAAGAAAGAAATCCAGCAGGGTGTAGTGGTGTCTGCCTATAATCCCAGCACTCACGAGGCTGAGGCAGGATTGTGGCAAGTTCGAGGCCAACCCAGGCTACAAAGTGAGTTCAAGGCCAGCCTGAACTGCATAGTAAAACCCTGTCTCAAAAAGACCAAAAAAAAAGAAAAAAGGAAAAGAACTCCAGGTGCCAGGGTGTGTGTATGGTGGTTCTTTCTGGCTGGTGGCAGGCGACCATGAAGGTGACAACACAGGGGCAGAATGAGATTCCTTTTTACGAAACAGTCACTCAATGACAATTTTAATCCACTCTTACTCTCAGGGAATTACCATTTTCCTACTTCTAGTAGTAGGAAAACTTTTTAAATAAAAATATTTTTGTACCACCAATTTTTCCCTTTTGTCTACTATCTGTGCTGCGTATTTATTTTCTCCAAACCATGTGTGTAAATTTGACTAATTGATCCCAAATTAAGAAATCCTCACGGCCCTCCTCTCCTTAGATAATTCTTCTGTCCCTCATCAGCTGAGCACCTCCCCAAACGCCTTGCACCACCGCCCCCAAGACGCACTGTCCCATCTGTGTGACCTTTGCTTCAAGGTCACTCGCCAAGAGACCTAGCAGCAGTGAAGAAGACTGGTTCTAGACTCCCGCTCCAGAGTTCTCTATTTGACCTCCGCGATCCTGCTTTTCCTTTCTCTTTCCTTTGTTCTTTTTTTTTGTACCATGCCCATTTCTTTGTCATCAGCGGTTTTAATGCTGAACTCCAGTTTCTATTATCTCAGCAATTCACTCTCCTCCATCTATAAAACCTGCCGGTCAGCAAATCTCACTCAGTTCTCTCTGAATAGCCCCAGGGTCAGGCCACTTCTCTCCTCCCCCAGTACTGCACTCAGTCTATTATCCTTAGACACCGATCATTTCCTCTCCAAACTAGCAAACTAGCCTAAGTGGTTTCCCAGCTTCAGCCTTGCTTGTTTTATTCTTTTAACAATGGATCAGCCAGAAGTATCATGCTAGTGCTGGGCATGGGGCATACATGCCTGTTATCACACACCTGGGAGGCTGAGGCAGGAGGATCCATGTGAGTTTGAGGCCAGCCTACTTAGTGAGTTTGAGATCAGCCTGAACTACATAGTGAGACCTTGTCTCAAAAACCAAACAGAAGCCTGTTTGGTCATATCTTGCATCTGCTTGGTTGCTGTGGTGCTATCTTGTTGAACCTAGTGCAAAAGCCATTCTTTCCTTTTCTGGCTTCATCTTTTTCTCCCTTTTCCCCTTCTATTTGTTTTGCTGGTTGGTTGGATGGATGGTTGGTTCTGTTCTTGTGTTTTTGAGACAGTGTCTTTTTTTTTTTTGTCTTTTTGAGACAGTGTCTCACTATGCAGCTCAGGCTGGCCTTGAGCTCACTTTGTAGTCCAGGCTGGTCTCAAACTAACAACGATCCTCCTGCCTCAGCCTCCCGAGTGCTGGGATTACAGGCGTGCGCCACCACATCCGTCTTTGAGACAGTGTCTTACTAATGTAGTCTATGCTGGCCTTGAGCTCTTGCCTCAGCCTCCTGAACGCTGGTATTATAGGCATCCACTACTATGCCCACCTTTCCTTCTATTTATTGGACTTGTGAAGTACACTTTGTGAACAGTGATGATAACAAGTTGGAAGACCCAAACAAGATTAAAGCCAAGTTACAAAGCGGGAAGGCTCAGGGCTGCCTATAAAGATGAAAGGTTTCTCAAGGATTGTCTAAAGGTTCAAAGAGATTTCTGTTTATTCTATACATTTCCGTGCTTCCTACGCCTTGCAGGTACGAAGAGATTTGTGTAACCCAGTTTATCTTTCAGATTAAGACAGCAATATTTTGGACAAGATGCTGTTGACAGGACACATGCCCAACACTGTCACCTCCACTGATGACCTGATGCCAACTCCGAGACCAATGAACCTTGTGACCCAGGAGCTCATTTGAATGTCTCCCTTCTTGCTTTAACAATCTTCCTCTCGCTATAGTTCACTGCGGCTCACTGTGCCCGCTGAAATGCTTCTCTGTTTCCGAATGAATATCTGGAGACTCTGCTCGACTATTTCTGGGTTGACAGCTGTCACCTCTGCGTCTTTGCAGGAGCTCTGCCATCTGACTCCTCAAGGGGCCCCAGTCTCATTCCCTCAGTTTCCTCACATCCGAATCGAAGAATCATTTCGCACTTCCGGGATCCCCTACCTCAGAAATCAGTTCTAATACCTACACCCCTACCTCATACCCCATCTCTGCTATATTTTTCTTCTCCTAAAACTTACCCTGCTGTCTAGTTTCTTTTCCTTATTGATCTGCTGTTTGACAAGGATGTAAATTGTATGACGGAAGTGTTCTCTACTTCTCCAGCTGACTGATTTTCCCCCATTAGTATCTGGCACGTAGTAGATACTCAGTAAATATTTCTCAGATTGAATGAAGAATACCAGAAAATATAACAAATTAACATGGAGACCGAATAAAGAAATGTACCATTATTATATTAGAAACCATCCAGAAAATTTTCAGGGCACAATATGCTCTGTAGCTTTCACACTGACTCTCATCATGCCTTACAAGGAACAAAAGACAAAAATATAACTGAATATTTTAGCTACAGCCCTATTCCCACTGTATTTCAAAATCCCACTCTCTTTACAAGTAATTTCCAGACATTACTGGCATAGCCCCTGAAGTTTCTGGCCTACATTTGTTTTATTTGTTTTGTTTTTTTTTAGAAAACTTCAAAAAATAAATTTATAGATATAAACATTTTTAAAAATTGGCATATGTGGGGCTGGGGATTTAGCTTAGCGGCAAAAGCGCCTGCCTGGCAAGCGCAAGGTCGTGAGTTCAGTTCCTGGTACCAGAGAAAAAAACCAAAAAAAAAAAAAAAATTGGCATATGTTATGCCCTTATTCCATATGTTTTGTCTATAACTCCCAGTCTTATAAAATATGATTAGGTGCAAAATAACAGCAGAAAAAGCTTATGATTATCCTTTATAATTAAAAACTCACCATAAAAATTGATCCTATTTACCATGAAAGTTTTCCCTTATTCCAGTAAGGGTCATCTGAATTAATTTCTTTGTCTTTTTTTTTTTTTTTTTTTTTTTAGAGTCTCACTATGTAGTTCAGGCTGGCCCTGAGCTCACTATGTAGCCCAGGTTGGCCTTGAACTTGCAATGATCCTCCTGCCTCAGCCTCCAGAGTGCTGGGATTACAAGCATGCACCACCACACCCAGCCTGAATTCATTCGTTTACTTCTCCAATGTAGTAGACATTTCTTTGCTCAAATTTAACAGTTGACTCATAAAATCCTCAGATGGCAACCATTTCATTTGCAAGTTGCCAGTGCAAGCCTTTTAAATTGACTCTGCTAAGAATGTGGACCGTGCAAGTCTAGGGGTCTGGACTGATTGGGCCGCGGGGTATAGAGCCTGCCTCGGAGCCCCACCTCAAACCAAGGCTAACGGTAACTTCTCCAGCCCCAGAAAGAAAATTTTATTCAAAACCGTTAGCCGTGGCTACTATATTTTTAGAAGCAGTCCATCTTCATGCTGGAGGGTGAACTTCTTTCCCCTGCATTGATGTGGCCCAAATCTGTGCTGCAGATCCTGTTTCTTTTCCTACCTTTGATAAATGTAAACCTTGCTACTGTTAAAGAAAACACCTTAGTCATGAAGAGTGATTTAATAACCGTTATACTGAGTATATTGCTGTATAAAAATTCGATCACCACTGCTATCAAATCTTTTTTTCTTTCCGGTAAACAAGAAGGGCTCTTAAATAAATAAATCCCTGGGAGGAAAAAAATATTTAAATACCAACTACAAAATTACCTGACCTTCTAAAAATAATCTAGTTAAAAAGTGAGTGTTCACAGTGCGCTCAGGAAATTTTACCTTTGAAGAGCAAACAGCATCAAATGTGTTACAGTATTCCTTCACTTCAGGCTTCTTGCTAATTCCTTTCTTTTTTCTTATCTTTTCTTTTTCTTTTTGAGACAGAGTTTTACTGTGTAGCCCAGGCTGGCCTCAAACTCACAGTGGCCCTCCTGCCTCAGCCTCCTGAGTGCTGGGATTATAAGCGTGTACCACCTTGCCTGGCCTTCTTGCCAAATTTAGCAACACAGTCTATAAAGGAAATGGTGAAAATGAGAAAATGAAGCCGAGTGTGGTGGTGCACACCTGTAATCTCAGCACCTGGAGGCTAAGGGAGGGGGATCGCTGAAAATTCCAGGCCAGCCTGGGCTACATTGTGAGTTCAAGGCCAGACTGAAGCATAGAGAGACACTGTATGTGTGTGTTTGTGTGTGGGGGTAATATTCTTCAATGATTTTAAGGAATTGAAGTAGGAACATGGACTACTTTTTGACCTTTGGGGATCAGAAAATCAAACTATGTCATCATAAACTGTGCTTTTGGCTCTAGTGATAACGAGGTGCCTCACAGGATTGAAAGAGACAAACGAAGTTGTGTAGGAAGTTGTAGCTTCTTTGGGTAAATAAAATCCCCAATTTCTGTAATGCTGGCAATGGGAGAATCATAATTTGGAAGGGATAACAGGGCTTTCCTGGCCTGTTTGGCTTCTAGGATTCACCCTGAGGCTTTCTCAATAATTATGGTCATTATTGTGCCACCTGGGCCATCTGACACCCTAGACCGGGACACACACTATCCACACGTTTCCTCCCTACTGCAGAGTGTTGCCAAGAAAGGTCTCCGGGGTCCCCAGGACCTCATCCCCAGGGGAATCCAGGGGGAAAGTAACAAGGCTCCAAGTCTAGCGCTGGAACTAGGAAACCTGGTTTGCCCTCTGGAGCTCTAAGCCTTACCCTGTCCAGCTCAGCTGACCACCTTCTGGAGGCCGTCTGACACCGTGCACCTGCTCCTCAGTACCACCCTTCCTCAAAGCCTACCCCACTCGACGGGCCACAGGGAAAAGGGGCTGCATCTCCTGCCACCCGGGGCCAGCCTTCTGAGCTCTGATTTGCTATCAAACTCCACTCTCCCCCTGTCACAATGACGGACACCGCACTTGTCCATGTCCCCAGGAGCTACTGTATCATCTCACAGACCACAGCGGTATTTTTACCTCAGTTAAGTTGCAGTAGTGTCTTCTTCATACCCCCTACAAGAAACTGATTTGTACAGCAGCCATGCAGTAGTCACCGGCTCTAACCATAGAGGCTGCCTGAGCTGCAGCAGCTAGGAGCCAATTCCAGGAGTCGCAGAACCCTACTACAGCTAAGGAAGGCCAGCAGCTCTTGAGAGTCTATACCCACCATTGATTTGATGGTAAACAAAAATGCCCAACACTTCATCTACCTTTTTTTTTTTTTTTTTTTTGAGACAGGGTCTTGCTATGCAGTTCAGGCTGGCCTTGGGCTCACGTTGTAGCCCAGGCTGGTCTTAAACTCACAACTATCCTCCTGCCTCAGCCTCCAAGTGCTGGGATTACAGGCGTGCGCCACCACACCCGGAAAATGTTTTCACTTTTTGTTGTTGTTGTTGTTATTGTTGTTTTTTGGTATCAGGAATTGAACTCAGGACCTTGTGCTTGCCAGGCAGGCGCTTATGCTGCTTATCCCTACCCCATCTACCTTCTAAAATATATGAGTTTAAAAAAAAAAACAAAATAATAGAATAAAATATATGAGTTTGAGGCCAACCTGAACTACCTAGGGAGACTCTTTGTCAAAAAAAAAAAAAATTAAACCATTTATATATATACAGCCCACACCTCCTATTCTGATCAAAAAATAAAAGAGTTATTTTTGTTAAAAAGAGGGATTCCATGGAAGGAAATCCTTAGGGTAAATAGAAATTCTAAAGTTTTTACTAACATGGGTTTCCACTCTAGTGACACAATGATTCTTTTCAAACTTAATTCATCTATCTTATTTCTTGGCCTACAACTTTGCTTCCCATAGACTCCTCCCAATGAGTAAGATCTGAAAACTTTTTAAAAGGATTCATATTTCCTTAGGCTTTGAGCACTGACACTAAAACAAAAGCATTAACTAATTTGTAAGAGACTAAAACTACAATATACTTTTTGTACTCCTTTTGAAAGTTATGAAATCACATTACCTGATTAGACTGTGATAATCCCAGGGTAGTTGGAAAATCATCTTTAAATTCATCCATTAGGTCCGTAATTACTTTCTGGATCCCCTCGACTGAGAAAAAAAAGAAGAACAAAACTTTAAAAATATTCGCCAAGCCAGGCATGGTGGCACACCCATGTAATCCTAGCACTTGGGAGACTGAGGCAGGAGGATCACCATGAGTTCGAGGTCAGCCTGGGCTACATAGTGAGTCCAGACCAACCTGAACTACATAGGGGAGACCCTGCCTCAAAAAAAAAAAAAAAAAATCCCCTAAATGATTCACATGGAAATCTGGGTTCACCTTCTACGTAACTGAGAAAACAAGGGAACCCAGGGGGATTTTATTCCCAACTGTTTCCACACCCATAACCCTTTACAAGATTGTGTATACTTCTTCCAAAGAAGTTCTTCAACACCTGTCCACATGTCCCCTTGACAGTTTTGCTGGGCATGGGGAGCTCTGGCTTGGGCTCCTAGTGCTTGGCAAGCTTGCCGGCCTGAGATGAAGGTGGCCTTCTCCTCAGGAAAGCAGACAGAACAGAATACAGCTCACTGCTGGAATTCTTTGTTATTCCACAATGGGCCTCTGATCGCTTGTTCCAGAATCTTCTGGAATCACTCCGGCCGTGAGAGGCGGAAGAACATGTTTGGAGGCACGAGGACACCTGTGAGGGGATTGAAAACTGAGCCGGGCTAAGAAGTTGTACAATATAAATTGAATTTTGTCCCAACTTCTGCAGTGATACTTCAGTTAATGGATCATCTGAGAACAAGGCTCCTTTTGAACAGTGTTGGCCTGAGCTTTAAAAGAAATGCTTCGCCTATGATGCCAAGTGGGAAAGAAACACAAGCATGAACTCAGAAAGGCTTCTAAACAGATTGTTTTTCCCTCACCCAAATGAGACTCGCTAGGTCAAACCAGGCCAAATGTAGTCTTTGCTTTGTCTTCTTTATAACCCTAATCTTTATTTTTTTCTTTTCGTGTTTTATCCACCACCTAGGGCTCTCCCACTTCAGATGGTCATTATTTTCCTCTAACCAAACCTGGGAAGAACTGGCTATCAGACTCCATTGACTACCTAGTTACATTTTAATGTGGACGAGTTAAGAGTTGGCGAACTAGAACCCCATTTCAGTTTGAAGCCTTTATACTCAATGACAGCTGGACTGTTTTCTTCACCAAGTTTAGGCTGTGGGTGCCGAGGTCTACTCATGGGAACTGCTTGGGGCAAGAAATCGTGGGGAGGATCCCTCTAGCATGCGAAGCCTGCCAGGCCCCTGGCTTTTACATGGTCCTCAGTTCACTTTTTTTGTCTTTTTGAGGCAGGGTCTCGCTATGCAGTTCAGGCTGGCCTTGAGTTCACCTTGTAGCTCAGGTTGGTCTCGAACTTGCAAAGATCCTCCTGCCTCAGCCTCCTAAGTGCTGGGATTACAGGCATGTGCCACCACGCCTGCTGGTCCTCAGTTTTTAATATGCCTGAAAACGCTCTCCACCACCCCACACTCGCCTCTCCTAAACCAGATGGAAGCTTCTTCCCTCCATCTTGACCCTAAGACCTACGACAAGTATGCCCTTAATGTTGGAAAGTGCACTTCAGTATCAGAAAGAAAATCCCGGACAATCATGAGTGCACAAACTAGGAATCTGTATGGTAAGGCAATGCTTTTGCCACCCTATCCGGGCACTTGCCATCAGAGGAACGAATGTCCGGTAGCGCCTTCTCTCTCTGGTCTTGCCTGTTCTCTTCCCTCACCCACCACAAATCCTTTTATCCACCCGCACACTCCAGTGTCCCAAGCTCACAAGTGTTTTCTCCTCTCTTTGTTACTGCTTGCGCTCTCTCTCTCTCTCTCTGGTATCCTATAGAATTAACAAATGTAAAAGCGGAGCATTTTTCCTGCTAACACTCACCTGTCCCTGGAGCATCACAGACTCTGTGTGTGGTGCTACTCAAGTTCTTGTTTTTTTCTAACTCAGTGAACCTGTCCCTGGAATGGAAGTGGCACACAGCGTCCAGAAGTGACGAAGTAAAATCCAACCTTGTCAAACTTAGTTTACATTGTGATCTGATCTGACAGTATTTCGGTTTGCATTTAATTATGTTTTCACACCTATATCCACATACATCTTACGTTGTTTCAGATAATAAATTTAGGCTAAACAAATGTCAGTGGTTACTGTCCTTATTACGTTTTTCATTATGTTATGCTTTATGCTTCCTAATAAAGTACCACACACTTATAAAATGAGCTAGGAAACATTAGAAAGACCTCAAAGTAACTTTTGTAACAGTCATACAGGTTTATCTGTATTTAGAAAGCTTGAATACAGAAAAATAGATTTGCACATAGTTCTGAAGAAAACCGCTCAAGTGCAGGCAGTGTTGGCTTAGTCCTAGAAATAAAGAAGTGTTGGGGCCCAGTCAGGCCTGGGTTTGAATTCCAACTCTATTCTCTACCAGGCTGTGTAATTTTCAGCAAATAACTAAATTTTCTATTCCTAAATTTTACCTTTTGAAATGTGACAATAATTACTCAATAGACCTAAAATGTTCAATAAATTGCAGGTATCATTAAATATACAATACCATTCTGCTTTTGGAAAGTTGCGAAACCTGAATATAAGTCAGTTCTTCATTTTCCTGGTTCCCATGGGTTTCAGCCTGTTTTGATTTGTATTTGTAGCAAGGATTATCTACCAGTCCTCAAAGCCTATCCTCACAACCCACTACTATGTGAGACTTGTTTCAGAATTGTCCTTGGCCTTCATCAAGGATTTTGATTGGAAGCCATCTGCTTGGGAGTTACTCCCACAAGAACAGTTCTATCGGTACCAGGACTGTATCTGTCCAGCTCAGCTGGCTTCAAGATTATGCACGTCTTCCCTGAGAACATACTTTTCAGTGAAATAAATTGGATACAAACGTTTAAGTATCACATTGTTTCTCTCTCTTTTTTTTTTTTTTTTTTGGTACAAGAAATTGAACTCATGATCTCAGGCTTGCCAGGCAAGCACTTATGCTGTTGAGCTATATCCCCGGCCCTGCACTGTTTCTCTTGTGTGAGAAATCCAAAGGGTAAATAAGGACCAAAAAGGATGATAGATATTGGGAAGTCGGAAGAAAATGCTCAAGTGGGAAGGGGAACAAGGGATGGAGGAGAGAGAAAAGGAAAAGGAGGGAATAGGAATTTTAAAAAAAGAATGGAAGGAAAACAACAGAAACAAAGTTTTAAGGGAGAGTGGAAGAAGGATTGAGGGGAAGGGGAGGGAATGGACAATAGCATTAAGATATACTATGAACAGGTACAATGTGTACCAATAAAATTAATTTTAAAAAAAATCACAAACTATAAATGAAAAATTAAAAAGAAAGAAAAATAAAATAGGCTGGGGATGGTGACACACACCTATTGTCCCAGCACTCAGGAGGCTGAGGCAGGGGGATCACAGGATATGAGACCAGTTTGGGCTACATAGTGAGTTCAGTTCCAGCCTGAACTGTGCAGTGACACCCGATGATCTCAAAAGACAAAAAGCAACAGAGAAGAAAATAGATTAGTAGCTGTCACGAAGGAAGGAGTGGACATGAACCCTAGTGGGCCTGAGGTTTCTTTCTGGGGTGGTGAAATGTTCAGAAATGAAGCAGTAGTGGCAGGTGCACAACTCTGTGAATACACTAAAAATCACTGAGGTTTGCACTTTAAGGCTTTGGGTGTGTGGTACTAGGGTTTGAATGCAGGGCCTTTATCCTGAGCTACATCCCCAGCCCTTTTGTAGTTTTTATTTTGAGACAAGGGCTCACTAAGTTCCTAAGTTGCTCAGGTTGTACTTGAACTTGGAATCTTCCTGCCTCAGAATCTTAGGGAGCCTGCATTACAGACATGGGCCGTAATACTTGGCTAAATTTGCACTTTCAAGGATTAGTTTCATGATTCATGAATTATATTTCAATACAATTCTTACAAAAATTTTAAAAAGATTGTGCGTATCTACATCAAAGGCAAATGCTAATAATGTCAAAGTAATTTTAAAAATCATTATCTTGAGGAAGGGAGCTGACTTTTATTGAAGGCCAATTAAATGCCCATAACTGTGCCAGGGGTTAGGTTCCATCGCTCACCTCTTTTAATTCTCCGTGAGTTAGGGCTGGGGATTTAGCTCAGCGGCCAAAGCGCCTGCCTGACATGCGCGAGGTCGTGAGTTCGGTTCCCGGTACCGGAGAAAAACCAAAAAAAAAAAAAATTCTCCGTGAGTTAGGGATATTCTGAGAATATCAAAGAACATCAGTATACTGGTATTACCAGATTAGGATGACGCAAACCGGCTGGGAAAATGGACATGACCTGTCAATTACAAAGTTCCCAAAGCACTGTACCTGGAACCAATCAGAGAGGGCTATCTTCAATTCTCCTCGCGAGAACTCCAGCAGGTTTTTGATAGGACGGCCTAGGCCTGACGTCAGCCTGAGGATGGCCGCCATTGAGCTCTTGGCCTGTGTGCCGTTTCCCAGGGCTCTGCTGTCACCCTCTAGAGTGTTACCTCTTTTCCTAGTTTTAGTTGATCCGAGCTCACTCTGCAGAGCATGCTTTTCTTTTCCTACCTTTAATAAACGTAAAACCTCGCTACTGTTTGCTCTTGTCTTGACCAATTCTTTGCTTAGGACTGAAAGAACCTAGAAACCACCTCTGGAGAAGACTTCAGCAAACACCAAAAACAGGAAACATTCTGACACCTTGATTATAGCTTTTGTGACCCTCAGAACTATCCAACCAAGCTGCACCTGCGTTCCTGACTACAACTCTGCGATGATTTTTCCTGTTCTAAGATGTAACATTTTGGTGTAATTTGTTACTTAGCAATATGTAAGTAACAATTCATTTAAAATAACAATAACAGCCAAGGGCAGGCCTGTAATCCCAGCACTTGGGAGGCTGAGGCAGGAAAACTACCACATGTTTGAGGCCATCCTGTGCTACATAGTGAGTTCCAGGCCAGAGTGGACTACATAGTGAGACCCTGTCTGACAAAAAAATACAAACAAACACCATAACAGCATTTTCAGTAGAAATAATTGTATTTTCTAAAATGAAAAATGTAGCAAGCCAAGTGGTAATTGTTCTCATTTTTTTCAAATCCCTTTAATATCTAGTTTTGTAGGACATATCTGGCATATCTGACATATCTGTTCCTGGATTTAACCTATTTCAGTGCATTGTTTTGGTTGAAATGCATAAAGAAAATCCTGCCTCATACAGATATGTAGCTGCAAAAGAAGCATTTTAATAGTTTTTCCAGATAACTATGGACATTTTTCTTTGATCCTTTATCATTATTCAACAAGTGATCATTTCTTAAAAGTTAATTGCAATTTGGAAGCCTTATTAATGAACTTTTTACACTCTATTACATTAATAGTTGTTGGTCTGTTTTGCATATTAAATGACTTTTTTACTAATACATAATTTTGTAACATCATGCACTGATTATTTGGATAATATTGGTTATGCAGATCTTCCATTGACAGGTTTATATAAAATCCCACTAAAACAAAAGACAAACATTTGTGAATAGCTTAACTGAACTTCTCCGAAAGCCTTTAAGTTTGGGGAAGTGATTGTATTATAGTGTCATATAGCAAATGACCTCAAATTCCGTAACTTAGAGCAACAGACTTTTATCATTTCCCAGTTCCTTAAGGGTGAGGAATTCAACAGTAGTTTGGCTCGGCTGGTTCTTGCTCCAGGTCTTTGAGGACACTCCGGTCAGGCTGTTGGCTGGGCTGTGCTCATCAGAAGGCCTGAGATGGTGACCCACTTCCCAGGTGCTCCTGTACCTTGAGACGCCCTCCAGACATCTACTTCTGGGTCCACTCAGGTGGTTGCCAGCAAGTTTCAGTTCTTTGTCACATGGGTTGCTTGCGTGTGTGTATCCTCAGCTGGCTTCCCTCTCCCGGGGCTGCCTCACAACCTAGCAGCTCACACTTACAGTGAGTGCTGAGACGAAGGGGAGGGCAGGGAGGACAAGGGAAACGGGGAGGGGGGGAGCACCGAGGGGGAGGGGAGCACGGAGTGGGGAGGGAACTCAAGGTACGAGCCACAGTCATTTTATAATTTTTTTTTTTTTTAACAGAAAACTGAGGCCAGATGGAGCCCCCTCTCCTGATGGGAGAAGAAGTAAGGATGGAAGAAAAAGGAAGAGGGGGAGAAGGAGGAGGAAAGAGAAAGCCATTTTATAATCTAATCTCAGTGTGACAGCAGCTTGTGTCTTCAGCCATATTCTCGTTGAGGCAGGATAGAAGAGATAAAAACTAGGCAGAAAGGAGACAAGCAGAATCACAATCTTAAAACTGAAAACTGCACCTTCAGGAAACAAACCGTTTTGCTTAGTTTTGGTTTTGGTTTTGGTTTTGATTTTGATAAGAATTTAGCGTTCACCTGCAAAAGGGCTTGGTCATTGCTTTTAGTTGCCAGTGATCCTTTGACCACTATCTTCCTGTGCTTGGGCCGACCTCTCCCAGGCACCAAATCAAGACCACAGATTTCTACCATCGACCACATTTTCACCTGTAAATTAGGCCAGCACCCAAAATACATAAAGATTGTCTCGCTGTAGGTGGACCACCGCTCCACCGGACCAAGACCAAGACTCTAGGTTATCAAATTCCACAGGTTTCCACCACTAAAAACTTGTATGTCCAGTTCTAAACTAATGTGTTTCATTTCTCTGACAGCCCACACTCCACTCTTGAAACGTCCTAAAATGTCTGCCTAATGAACCCTTCCTGTCCCTCCCACACGTTCTGAGAGCTTTGTCCCTGAGAGGAGGTAGTGAGCCTGTGCTTACTCTGCAAACACAGTTGAGGGTTGGGAAGCAATGCCCACCTCTTGAGGAGAGCCGATTATATCTACAAAACCATAATCTGTCAAGCTCATAGGACTGGATGCAAGTTTTCCTAAGTTCTAATTTTTGCTTTAAAGCTCATACTTATGACTGACAATCAGTGCTGTCATTTGTTTCCTTAGACATGGCAGACTTTCTTCTTTTATCTTTTAAAAAAATATTGCAAAATACCCAACCCCATATAATAGCGATGTTGAACCTTTTAGAGACAAATGCCCAAACTGCAGCCCAAAACCCACTTATTTAATCACTGCAATTAAGCCTGAACATTAAGATTTTAGTGTAAAAAAAAAAACTCATACATGAACATATGTTGTCTTTTAAAAAACATGTCTGCCATAGGTTCACCACTACTGCCATGTAACCATATTTGTCATGAGTCACTTTTTCAAGAGAAAATGACAGGCTGGGCGTGGTGGCACACACCTGCAGGCCCAGCACTGGGGATGCCGAGGCAGGAGGAGCGCTGTGAGTTCAGCGCCAGCCTGGGCTACATAGTGAGTTCAAGGCCGCCCTGAACTACACAGTGAGACCCTGTCTCAAAAATAAAAAAAGAGAAAATGAAAGTCTATGGAAAAAAATCACAGCCTAAACAATTATACAAGAACTTTTCCTTGAGGCAATCATATATTTCAGAAAATGGGAGAAGCGCTTTGTGTGTAGTTTGTATTTCAGGAGATAATTGTACAGATTGTTAAAATGTTTACTCCAGAGTCACTGACATATGTATTTAAGCATCTTAAATAAAACTGACTTTTTTGATATACATTTGACTGCTTGGAAATTCAGAGTAGGAAAATCACCAAGGGAAGGAGTAGGTCAGGAAATGCCTCACAGAAAGATGTGTGCATTGAGTTGGCTGAGAAATGCATTCAGGCCAGAGCAGAAAAGAAGAAGTAAGAGCAGTGGGTAGGGGGAATGGAGCACAGCCCGCTCGAGCCTGAGGAGAGGGGCGGCAGAGCAGGGGGAAGCTGTGGGCTTGACGTGGAGAGCTGTGGCGAGGACCAGCCTGAAACCTTCACCACAAGGCCCCCCGAGGAGCCCTGAGAGAGTGGGGGCTGCTGGAAGCCAGCAGGTAGGTCGTCACCCGCCAGAAACTCAGTGGGAAGTTCTCAGCAGGCACCTGCAAGACCACAGTCCCCTCAGCCTGCGTGCGCCTCCTGAGAGCACCAAGGCCGGTCACAGCCAGACAGCTACACACGAGCTTCCCCACGGCCTCTCTCTGCCTTCCATCCGCCAGCACCGGAAGGGCTGTTTAACAGCAGCAGAGGAGGAGGAAGAACAGACCGCGAGGAGGAGAAACGGCTGAGCAGCGCTCCTTGCAGCCTCTGCCAAAGACCTCCACGCCGGGAGCAAAACTCAGTAGAGAGAAGGAAGCAGTTTTAAAGGGAACGCGATTGGGGTTTGGTGTACACCAAGCTGTCCTCTATTTACTAAAAGAAAACTATTCCTTTACTAGCTGAGAGCAACCACAAACCTATACGATTGACTTCAGACTTCAAGGGTGTCAGGGAGGAATACTGTGGCTTGGAATACAATGATAGCACAAGTTTGAAGGACACTGCAGAGGAAGGAGAGACTTGCCGTGAGCACGTACTCTGCTCAGTGCCGCTCTAGGCGAGCGCCTACAGCAGCTGTTAATTGGGCATCTGTTTTTGCCAGGCTGATGTTCTACTGGTAAGCATCCACGAGTGAACACTGGATTAGTCACCTTTCTACTTCTGGGACCTAATGTTCTATTTGCCATATACAATTTAAAGGTGTAAAAGGTTCTTTTGACTCATGGCTTCAGAGGTCTTAGTCCATGGTTGGCTGGTTCCAAGAGTGAAAAGGTGTGGCAGAAGGCTGCGGCAGAGGAAAGCGGCCTGACCAGTGGCAACCAGGGAGCAGAGAGGCAGCAAGAGAGCCAGAGAAAGTGGAAGAGGAATACGCCCTTCCTTGTCATACCCCCAGGGACCCCCCTCCTTCAGCCAGGTCCCTCCTACTACAGCACTCACTGAACGCATTGATGGACTGATCCACTCATGACTACTGTGCCCCCACCTTTTACCTTTTAAAAGTCCCACCTCTGAACACATGAGACTATTGAGGGACATTTTAGAGCTAAACCATAATAAACATGATGTTTAATACTCATTGGAACCAAAAAATTGCACACAGTTAACCTTTGCATTCTCAGTTTTCTCATCTATAAAACGGTGATGAACGATGACTAGTTCACAGGGTTATTGTTAGGAGTATACATGAGACAATGCATGTATAGAAACAGTGCTTGGAGTACTTGGTGCATTTGATAAGTGATAGCAGTCATTACGGTCATCATGATCTCAGTGCAATGACCTCATACAAATAGTACTTCAGAGACATTTACCATGCACTAGCATGCGAGACAGATTAGAGGAGGAGCTGGGAGAAAAGTGACACACTGAATTATATGAGGCTTAAATGGCAGCCGTAGGAACAAAAGGGAAGGCATGAACATGGAGGATACATGCGAGGAAAATGATCAGAAGTGGTGACTGTGTATAGCAGATGAAAGGGAAGGAGGAACCAAAGGTGACTTAAATTTTAAAATCTGTGCTGCTTGGGAGACTAGTAGAAATAGTAGAAATACAGAAATTGGCACAGTGAGCAAGTTGGCTGGTTGACAGTCATGGAAAGAAATATTTGTTTTGTTTCGATATATTTTAAATTTAGGTAACAGTAGGATTTTACAAGTGCAAGTATCTTGTAAATATTTGGAAAGTAATTATTTATCTATCTATTCATTCATTTATCTACTACTTCTCAAGAGGCACTTGGCATCAGCTACCATACTAGGATTCAGACATAATTTGAGCTGAGTATCATGGTGTAGGCCTGTAGTCCCAGCACTCAGGAGGCTGAGGCAGGAGGATTGCCATAAGTTCTAGGCCAGCCTGGTTATAGAGTGAGACCCTGTCTCAATCCACCCTCCAGTAGTCTGAGTAAGATACAGGAGCCAGATAGAAAAATTTGGGGATTTCAGCAGAGAACTGGCCCCTGAGACCATGAATCTTCATTAGTTTTCTCTGGAGAATGTCAAGAAGAGAAAACTGCTGGGAATATTTGCAGGGAGCCCCCAGGAATGTTCAAAGGGGTGAGCACTACATCAGGATCATATGCTGTAATTCTTTCTATATTAAACCTTAACTAGCCATCATTTATAAACATTTAATCAGGACCACGAATCGGTTTCATAGTAGCTATTCCTTTTTCTAGAGCATTTTCACTTTAGAATAATTACAGATCCAGAGTCAGTTACAAAAATAGCAGAGAGGTCTCGTTTACCCTGAACCTGGTTTCCTTCATTGTAAAGTACATCTCATGTAATTATACAACATCAAAATCAGAAAGTTTACATTGTTGTAATCCACTGATTTAATTCAGATTTCACCAGTTTTATGTGCGCTTGTTTACATGCATATCATGCTTGTCTATTACAAAATAAATTCTTCTAGTGGAAAGACAGCTTTCCAAATGACTCATTTGGTTTTTGTTCTTGTGGCCAAATCTTGTATTTTCTCTACTAGCTTTGAATATTGAACCATCTTGGGACATATGACAGGCACATGGCTGCACAGCTTTGCTCTGAGGAGATGGAAAATGGTTTTCTGGAATTCAAACATGTTAATATGGAGTACTTGATAAGGGGCAGTACATTTTTCACTTAATTTAAAAATGTATTTAGTTTAAATTCATATCTAGAATGTCATACACATTATTAATCTATAAGAAGTGACATTTTCATTTAAAATAAAATATGGGTACTCAAGTAATTAATTGAAGTACACATTACTTAAAGTATAAAACCAGCCCTTACAATATGTTCCATACATACATACTATTATAATGTTTTGTGTTACTATAAAAAATGAGACTGAATAATTTATAAAGAATAGAAATTTATTTTTCATACTTCTGGAAGCTAAGAAGTGTAAACTCAAGACGCTGGCATTTGGTATCTGAGATAATGCCTCCCTGTTCTACCCTCTGGAGGGAAGAAACGCTGTACCCTCCCACAGTGGGAAGGGTCAGGAGTGTGCATCCTTCAACCCTGACCCCTTTTATAAATTGCTAACCTCATTCATGAGAATACAGCTACACCTCCCAAAGACCAAAACTCATAGTACTGCTGCACTGAGGTAAGTCTCAAAATAAACTTTGGAGAGGATTCCATTAGTCAAACCATAGCTTGTATAATTAAATATTTCATGTATGAAATTTAATAACTCCATGTTAGTAGCAACTTTCTTCTTCTTTTTTTTTTTTTTTTTTGGTCATTTTGAGATAGGCTCTCACTGTGCAGTTCAGGCTGGCCTTGAGCTGACTTTGTAGCCCAGGCTGGTCTCGAACTCTCAACGATCCTCCTGCCACAGCCTCCAGAGTGCTGATTACAGGCGTGTGCCACCACACCCCGCAAGTAACCGCTTTCTTAAATCTCTTACTGCACATCTATCCACAGCTTTATCTCTCATCATCTCTATCTCTGTATCCGATTGTCTCTCTGAAAAGCTCTGACTGATAAGTTGGAAGCATAGTCAACACAGTTAACTTTGGAGACTGCAGGGCAGAACATTTTTAAATTTTTAAAAACCAATTAGAGTAAAAGATTAATTTTGTCATTAATCCCCACCCCCCCAAAAATACTGAAAATATTCCTCCTTGCTTCCAGCCTCCGACATACACAGCAGGGTGGAAGAGAGAGACTAGGCTTGGGCAGAAAGGGTTAAGTCACAGGAATAAAATGCAGGATGGTGGTCCCTGTAAGAAGGCAAGGTCAATTTAGAGAGCATGTATATTGGCTGATTTTCTTGATCTGAATGATGGGGAAGTGTTTGTTTTATAATTATTCATTAAACCACATATTTCTGTAGTGTGCCTTTTGTATATCTTATAATTTGTAAGAGTAAAGATGAAAACTATGCTGAATAATATGAATTTTATAATATTTGAACCCTAAAAGTCATAATATTTTTGAAGTGAACAAATTTGGAACATTTAAAACAAGTCTGTTTAAAATACTACATAATATAGTACAGCCAAGTTATACAAGTCAGTCAGGACAAGTGAAGAACTGTAAATAAGTACCCCTAAAATAAAAACATTTTCTGTTTTTTAAAACTTGCTTCTAGCCAAACAAGGAAGAAAGAATAACAACTAGACATTTGATGTTTTTTATTGCCATGACAAAATACATGAAGTAGGCTGGTTTATTTAGCTCCCAGTTCTGAAAATGCAAGGGCAAGTTGCCAGCAGTGCTCAGACCTGGTGAGGACCTTCCTAGAGGGTGACAGATGGTACCACAGTGTGGGAGGAAGAGATCACTGTTATAAACAGGAAGCCAGAGAGAAAGAATGAGGTCAAGACTGGAATCCCAGAAGCACTCCTAGGAGCACGTCTCCATTGACCTAAGGACCTCCCACTAGGTGCACCTCTGTAAAGCTCCACCACCTCCCAGTAGTAGCTCCTTGGGGACCAACTCTCCCACACATGAAACCTTTAGGGGAATACACTTGAACCATATCCAAACCATGGCACTTGGTAGACAATAAAGAGCATTACAGAGGTAAATGCTGAAGACACAGAGAAGAGGAAAGAGAGTGCAATCCCTCCCAAATCAAAAGAGGATGTGAAAACAGCACTCTTACAGGATTGGCTTCAGCGGAGCAGAGGGTGCCACATACACACCCCTTACTTTTGTCATGTAAATTTTTACTCACCATACTCACCAGCTGTGCGTGTCTAAGGGATACAGGAAGCAATCTATATGTTTACCCACTTGGTACGATTTCAATGGCAAGCTGTGGGCATGTGTATAAAAGTGGCAAAGTGCGACTTACACTGTTACACTCCATGAAACTGGTTTGTTTATGTTTACCCAAGCACCACAGAGGGTCCAATAGACCCACACCACACCAGGATTTGATTTTTAAACAAGTTTTCTTTTTATTTTTTTGGTAGAAGTACTCCAATTCAGTACAATAGCATAGGAAAAACCAGATTTATAAGTTTTGGAGGACATAAAAGTGAATCAGCAGACTACTCACGCATGGATGATGAAGACGGTCCATTGTGATTAAATACATGGTTTCATAACAAAAGAGTGGTGTGGGTAGGTGATGATGATAATGATGATGTGATGATGATGATGATGCCTTTGATGTTGGCCATGTGAGCTACAGTTCCTATGCTAGTGACATGGAACAAGAATTGACTGATACAGCCACAGGAAATGCAGTCCTCCTTGATTCAGATAACAAAGAAAACAGCAATGTCAGGAAATATTTAGTTGAAATGTTGCAAAACAGTCATGCAACCAAATGGAACAATCCAATGTCAGAACTAGGTACAAAAATATAGAGGGAGTCTTGACGGGGTGGTCATATATTGGACAGAATGCCAGTACTACCATCCAACATTGGAAATCATGACAGACAAAATGCTACAAGATGCTGTGAAAATACAAAAGCTGAGATAAAGATAAAATGTTCTGTATGCACCAATAGCCATATTTAAAAATGTATTTATTATGACACCACATTAGGGGAAATGAAAACATTCATGGGTCTTCTGTACTCTCATGGTAATTGCAGGAATGTGAAAGACTTACGGGTGAGCAATGGGTCAAAATATGGCATAAAAATTTGTGCCCTTGCAGATGCAAAGATTTATTATGCTTTCAATTTACAAATTTGTCCTGGAACTCAGCTATTGGGTCCTTCTTTGTGTAGTAATAAATTGAATGATGTTATGAACAGACTTGTTGCTCCCATCTCCCAAACTAATTGGAATGTGACATTTGATAATTGGTTTAACAGTTTCCAGTTGATACTACATTTGCTAACACAGTACAAGTTGGCCAGTGCAGGAACTGTATGTGGAAACAAAGCAGAAATTCCAAATGAAATGTTGCAAATTAAAGACAAGGAATTGTATGCTACAATCTTAGGGTTTCAAAAAATGTAACATTGGCCTCCTGTATGGTAAAGAAAAACACACTGGTACTGCTGATGTCAACACTGCATCATGACAGAAATACTGATAGGGAAACTTCAACAAAACCGAAGCCTGAGACAGAAACTTTCTACAACAAAACCAAAGGCTAAGTGGATGCTTTTGATGAGTTATGCAGCAACTATGATGTCACTCAACACATAAAGCACTGGGTAATGGTTGTGTTTTACTCAATCCTAAATAAAGATGTGTGGCATAAATAGTTTCACAGTTTACAAAGAAAATAACAAGTACAAAGTACCACAGAGAAATTTTCTTAAGAGGATTGGAACACGTAAGAGATCGTTAACAGCAGAGGAAAAACTATGCAAAAAAATTGTGGAGCACACTGGTGAGCTGACAGGTACACAGGCAGGTGCAGCACCCCAAAGACCTACTGTGATAACAGGAAATGACCTCATGACGAATGCTGTCAGATAGTTCACTAGGCTTTCTTTTCTGATTGACAGAACTGCTAATCAGAAGAGAAAACTTTCTTAAAATATGAAGAAAAAACTTAGAAAACTGATCAAGGTATAGATTCGCTTAGTGAAGTTTGCTCTGGAAAGCAATGTCTTTTTTTGACAACTGAATATTGGTATATGTCTTAGTTACTTTTCTCATTGCTGAGACAAAATACTGGACACCCCAAATTAAAGGAGGAAAGTTTTATTTACAGTTTTGTAGAGGATTCAGTCCACAATGGACTGGCTCCAAGGCAGGGTGTCACATGACAGAGGCACAACTGTTGTTGGTGGACAGAAGACAGCAGAAGCAACAAGGGATGGTGGGACAAGCCTCTTCCTGTCCCTTATTGTGCATGCAGGCTACCTGCCCTAGGGCGGGCTTAGCACTCACACCCTTAATCCGAGCCAGAACCATGCCAAACCAATCAGTGGACTGGTTTACTATCACACACCTTTAATCCCAGCACCACACAATCTAACTACAGCCACCTCTGAAAAGCCTGCCACTCATGACTGCATGAGGCTTTGGGGGGACATCTAGACACAAACCATAACAGTGTAATTGTCATTAAAAATTTTATATTTGTAGAACATTCTTGGGATCAAAATGATCTGTACTCTATGCTTACTAAGTGTTTGTTGAACTGAAAGATAATCATGGGCTTTCCTACAGGGGAAGGTGTTGGCCACATATCACAAGTTCCTAGTCCCTCTGGTAGTCTCCCTTCTCATTATACATTAGTGAACCAGTGTTATAGTTTACATATTAGACTCTGGTACACTGGATTAGCACAAGCTACTCCCCAGAGAGTGATTAAGCATGGGCACCCTGACAAAACAAAGTTTTTGGACTTGCAAAACTGAGGAATGAGCCTCAGGAAATGTGACTTAACTAGGGCAATGTCATCCCGAGGCCATTCTGAGGAACCCAGCTGGCTTCGCCTCATGACATTTCTAGCTTATTGATTAGAACAACAACTCTATTTAGGTCAATTTAACATTCTGCAATACAGACCTTGTAGACCACGATGTGCTTGTTAGAAAAAACATTGTAATCTGAGTTAATGTAAAAAGGCTGAGTGATTTATTAGATCATAGTGAGTTAGTAAAATTCACTGGCTGAAAATGCCTCCTAATTCTAGACTCTAGCATGGAGAGTTATTAATAGGGTATAATTTGTGCCTCTTCATGGGTAGCGCCTCAGTGACACATTGTTCCATGTTAAGGTTACAGCTAGTGAGTAGTAAAATGCTAGTACCGAAACAAAACGGAAACAAAAAGAAGCAAAGTAACTTTTCTTCTGTCTGTTTTGCTTTGCTTGTATTACATTATGCTTCACTACTTCCCATGTTGCCCTGTGGTCCCACATTTCTGAGTATCTCATTCTCTTTGTTCATTGATAGACTTTTCCCATGGTTCAGAAGAGCACATAATGACCTCTGAAATCAGATTTTTTTCCTAATGTAATAAACATTTCAGTAACAGTTAGTCTTTTATTCTCTTGCTTTGGTTCACCATAAGAAAGATAGTTTCTGACTAGGTAAAAAAGAAAAAAAAAATTTCTTGGGAGATTCCACTGGAGAAAAATTCTGGGATTAGCCCAGAAGCAGCTTTGCTTTGCTGTCCTGATCTAGTATCTCACAGAGAAAGGGCAGAATGTATTCTAGTGCAAACCGAGACTGTCTTTGTTCTACCCTGGTCCTAAAGCGCAGGAGAATTTAACGCTAGAACATCTTAAAGGACACGAATGTCAGCAAGAATAACCCTGGCCCTGATGGAATGGAGCCAACGACTGGTTGGGAGCAGGGGTGGGATCTAGCTACACCCAAGAATGAAGCTTGTAGGATAGCTGGAGAGATGATGATGACTACCCAAATCCAGATGTCTCAAGAGAGGAGAGAGTATCACTCAAACATAATACTGAAGCTCTAGTTTAATAGTTATGAAATTTAATGGAGTTCTGATGAGGACCTGAAGACCTGTGTCAGTAAGATGGTTTCTGGGGGGACAACTGGAGAAGGTGACACCAGGAAAAAAGTGAAGTTTAAAAACAACCCAGAAACTTCCTTAACATACCCTGAACATTTAAAATGTCTCTGCTGGGTGATGCCAGAGTCCCCAAAGGGCTATGCACCAAGGATATGCACTGCTAACTTAGCATTTAATGGCATCAGCTGAGCTTTCCCCTGAAAGAAAAATGTCTAAGAAAATTTCAATTGCTGTCACTGTACAATAGAGTTTCTAACTGCAGCTGAGAGTGTAGATTCAGGAGCAAAGAGTAGAAAACAAGTTTAGAAAAGGAAGGGTTGGAAGTATTGTGTGAGGGTAGAAGAGGACAGGTAAAGTGGCTTGTAATATTCTTTGAACAAAAAAAAGGAGAGAATTTCAAAGTGTGCTTGCTAAATGTTCCAGTTGGACCGACACCCAATGGATGGCCATGGCAGAGATGCAGGTTTCTCAACTCAGCAAGCTATGGGAGTGCCAGAAAGGGGTAGAATTTAAGCAGAACTTAGCATCGCAGATGGCACAACTTTTAGCACAGCTAAAGCAAGCGCAAATCACAGTATTGTTTTAAGAACCTACTTTTAGTCTATTAGAGCTCTCAAAAAGTTATGCTATTTCAGTCTAACATTCTGTATTTCTGTATGACTACTAGTGGGAAATGTCACAAAAACATTACGCATCAATAAAGTATGATCAATGTGCTTTATAATAATATTTTTTTTAATATCCACTCCTGGGAGTTGTATTTTGTAATTCAAAATAATCTACTTCTCAAGGACTAAGCAACAGCGGAGGCATATTAAACCAGATTTCTTTGAAGTTGAAGACTTTGAAAAAAACTGATTGCCCTGGCTCTAAGGAGCATATGTTCTGCTATTTTTATGTAATATTTTAAACTGAAAGTCAGAACAGTTGTTTGAAAAAACACCATTAGCCACAGGGACAAATGAGGGTGGTAAGAGAAGGTCAAACAGACAAAGAAACAAACATGTTAGACCTTCACTGAAAGAGCATAGAGTAGTTGGGCTGTGCATGTGTGTAGCATTCTGGATTCTCCTTTCTGCTTCTTTAAACACAACTGATATTTCAACTTTACAATTTGGAGGAAATCCACAGATGAGAAAAAACTGTAGGCTACTGCCCTGAGAAGAATCACCCAGGTAATAAAATGAGTTAAGTCAACTTTCCTTATGACTGACCAAACGTTACTGACCCTGGTGAACGACTGCATAGCTTACCTTCCATAAAGTACATGCAAGCTCTTATTGAAGAGAAAAAAAGAAAGCTAATCTTGAACTTTATGACTTTTGTGTAAATTTGCAAACTTTATCTCCCATTAGATTAGTTAAAACAATACAAATACATTTTTTCACCAAGCTGACTTCTAGGCAAGCAGATCTGCAGTTGATATTCGTCCCCCTTTCTGTTCTTGACTTCCTGTCTTACAGGAAGCCCCGACCTCACTGTGATCTTTTTTTTAGACAGGGTTTCACCGTGCAGTTGAGGCTGGCCTTGAACTCATTTTGTAGCCCTGACTGGCCTCGAAATCATAACAATTCTCCTGCCTCAGCCTCCCACGTGCTGAGATTACAGGTGTGTGCCACCATGCCTGGCTAGTGTCTTTCTAAGCCTCCCCTTTGAGCACAGTTTAAGGCACCAGCCAGTAGGCTCCCAACTTTTCTGACTGAGCACCCCATCAGAATGAATTTTAAGCACACTCTGAAGAGTTTTAGAAATTATATGCATATATTACATTCATACAATACAAGCACAATTTAACGTTCTTAAATAGAAACTTTTCAATAGTTGTGATAATTATCAAGTAAATTGCATTTTAAATAATTTAAAAATGTATTCATAATAGCAAAATGTTTTTTCTGTAGGATGTAATTATCATAAAGCTTTTCAGACGGAATAATCGAATACACTGCATTATTTTTTTAAATGTTATTTGCACTCAGATACAGCAACGCAGATGCCTGATTTTATGCTCTGGTTAATTAACAGGGCTCTGAAAAGAACTCACAAAGACTGGTGGCATTCAGTGGAAGACCTGCTTCATTAGTTGGGTTCCTAAGTCATGATACTTATTTTTTAGTCGCATCAACCATTATGCAAAGGTTTTGCTTGAAATTTGATCAATACATTTCCATCTTGCCTAGCATTGCTCTGTCCCTGCAAACTAATCAGAAGGTGGTGTACGTTCTAACGTGTTTGACTTACGTCTCCAAAATCCTCTGAAATTGTACCTGTAAAATATATAACAGAGGTAGAAATTATATCAGACGTGAATTTTTATAGGTTACATGTATTGTTTCCAATAGCAAAAATTAGATCAATAAGGAAATACTTTTAAAGATACCACACCATAGTTGGGTACAGACTTAGGTCCTGGTAGCGGTCACCTGAGTTTTACCCCAGCTCCTCTATTCAGGGTTTGAGTAGCAGTGCGCAAGTTGCTCAACCTCTCTATCCCATTGTTTTCGCCTGTAAATTAGGGTAGTAACAGAAACTACTGCACTGAGTTGTTGTAAGAATGGAGTCAGTATTTGTAAAGCATTTCATATAATGCCTGCAAGAGTAAGTATATTTAAGCATGTAGAGGATTATGGGGAGGATTTTCATGCCCTGATGTTGGGACAGTGATGGGTAAAATGTT